TCTCTCTCTCTCTCTCATCTCCCATTTCCTCTCTCCCCTCCCTCCCTTCCTCCCATTCTCTTCCCTCTCTCCCTTTTCTCCTCTTCCCTCTCCCCCTGCCCTTCCTCCTCTCCCCTTTTCCCTCTCCCTCTCTTTCTGTCTCATAGGGGCAGAGTTGAGGCTGTTTATAAGAGAGGCTCGGACACTGAACTCTTCCCCAAATCTTTAATTTCAGGCAAAATAGCAAAATATTTTAGTGCTGTAAACTAATTATAAGCACACCACCATCAGCATCACTACCACCACCATCAGCACCATCACCACCTTCAAAGCTCTGCCAGGTTCAGTGAACATAGCACAAGAAGACAGTGAAAGCCGGATGTAATGAAATGCTGTCTTGTGAATGTGGCATAGCCACCACACTCGTGAGCTCACAGCTGCCCCGACCTTATACACAGGCACAGCATAGGTACAAGACTGAGCCAGTAAACATTCCATCACAGATGAGGGACGGGGGTTAATGACTTGAGGACTGCAGGAGGAGGGGAAGTCATTGCCTTCAGTGATGTGGTCACTGGTGTTACCACACCTCGAGGAGGCAGCTCCATGCCTATGCCTTGGCTAAACACAGGGAGTCCCAAAGCAACGTTTATAGACTAGAATCTAAAGTTAAATGATGGAAGTGGGATGGAGATTTGGGAGGAGACACGGATGGGTGGGTGTGGGGAAAGGGAAGGAGAAGAGATGGCAGAGGGACACTTACGGTCATAATTTATATTATACATGTACTAAAGGATAAATTAATAAACACAAATAAAGAAAAACATCGCCTCACTAAGTCACAGTTATTGCAGACTTCTCTGACTATGACAGGTAGCTTACAGCACGGCAAATGTCTCTGCTGGCTAGCTACTCCAGACCTTGTAAAGCCATCATGCTTCTATAATCGGGGATCTTTCAACTCAGAGAAAAACAAAACAAAGCAAAACAAACAAGCAAAAAACAAACAAACAAACAAAACCTATGAGCCGCTGGGGCACTGTTAACTATTATTCTCCAGGGGCCTCGGGACTTTCTTATCTCTGTGGATTTACCATATTGCTAGGAAACAGGAAAAATGTGTTGCTGCCTATCAGAGTTCTACTTAAAGATCTAGAGCCCCAGGGGCTATTACTCCCCTTAAACCCTTCTTGGCTCCCCTGCACCCCACATAGTACCATACCCAGCCCCCTTGACATTACAGCTGTGTAACGATGTACTTCAAGCTTTATCTTGAATCCTTTCACCTTCTCTCCATCCTTGCCTACGTAGTGTAGACACAGTGACTGAGATATCAATGTCCTTTAAGTTCTTTGAGCTAGTTTAAGGCTTGGCAGGATTAAACATTTGTGAATTGGGCAGGAAATGGATCTTGTATCTTTCCAACTCACACTAGTTCCACCAAAGGAATGTTAATCTACATTAATTGCTTTCCTAGTAATATAAATTTAGTCTTTTTGTTTCCCGTTTATAATAATACATAAGTGAACTGATCCAGATTCTAAGAATCTTTTTAGTTATTTGCTTGTTTGTTTTTGTTTTGAGTGTAGAGCATGCCATGATGTACATGTGGAAATCAGAGGACAGCTTTGCAGAGCTGATTCTGTCCTCCTACCAAATGGGTCCTTGAGATTGAACTCATATTACCACATTTGGTGACAGGTGCGCTTACCTACTGAGCCACCTTCAATGGCCCCCGGACACTGGAAATCTTACTACTGAGTGTTGTTTGAATAAGATAAAACTGTGTTGTGGTACATCTATAGAAAGGAATGGATTGATGGCTCAGAAAGCAGACTACAACTCAAAATGCAAAAGTCAATTTCCTAATCCCTTCAGAGAGGGATGCTTGTATTTCAATTTTAGGATAGGCAGGACAATGTCTCTTCATTGGAAAAAAAAAATGATAACCCAGAACATCCACCACCGTGTTCCAAAATTAAAGAAATTACGAGATTTTCTAGGTATTCCAGTTGTCACTCAAATTCTGGCATGAGATTCTCTCAAACAGAGACTTTAACACCCAGAAACCAAGGTATCGATAATAAGAAGAAATGACCAAACTCTGAGGAAAGCTGGTATAGTACAAGCTTAAAGTATTTATTTAATATTGCCCTTTACTGCTCAGAGACCTCAGAGTACAGGTCTAGAGATTTGATTTGGCCACTCCCTTCCAGTGTGGTCTGCATGTCATCCTTAAGATTTCTGCCCCATTTTGACATGCCTGTGCATATAAGGTACTGGAGACTTTATGGCATTTCCAAAGCGAGTCTGCAATGCCACATGTGCCAGTGCTTTGATGAGCCCGCATATAATGAGGAAAGTTTATGATCGGGAAAATGAAGAGATGGCCTTGTAGTAGAAGAAATTGAACCTGGCTTGCAGGAAGTCAACCGGAATTAGAGCATGTGCCAGAGGTATACCAGCTACAACTGGCTAAGTGCAGTTCCCTATAGCTACTGCCTTTAGTTCTGCTGAATATCTGAGCTGAAACTGTCATGCAAGTCATTTACTATTCAAATTCAGCAATAGAATCTGCTATTTGACTGTCATCGTTAAACATATATACTAATTCTGCCCTAGACCACGGAGATATATAGTAGGGCATAGAACAACCACCTTTCCTTGTGTTTGGCATTGTCAGAAATCACTAACCAAACAGGAATAGCTACAGATTACACAACACTGTGATTAGTAATAGTAACTCGAACTGGATCCGTCCACTGAAGGGAAATGAATTCTGGTGTCCCACCTCCCTCTCTCCCTTCCTCAACTCTGCTCTGACAACCAAGCGTCTTAGTAAGACTGAATCAGACCTCTGGACTTATTCAGGCTTAGAATGTTATTGTTCCTATTGATCATCTAGAATGCCATGGAAGAGGCAAGTAAGACCTTAAGGTACAAACCAGGAGCCACATTAGCAAACACCATCTGCACTGTATTGAAATTATTCACATACAAGGGCTTTTCTCAAAAGTTCTCATTAAAAGCAGTATTTTCTGTGCGTGACTTTGAGAAAAGTTAGGCTAAAAACTGGAGTTTAAATAGGAAAACTGGCTATTTGAAAGGAGATCCCACATCTTAAGCCACCATATGCACTTTTTTCTTTCTTCGCTGTTTTGTCTTCCCTGACCCACACTAGCTCTCTGGACTCGCTGCAGTCTCTCTCTTACACCACTGTTATTGCCCAAGCCTGCATGTGTTCATTTATTTATGTGTGTGCACTTCTCTGTGTGTGTCTCATGTGTGTGTATGTCTGTGCATGTATGTCTATATGTATGTGTATCTCTGTGTGTGTTCTATATCATGGGAACAGATATTAGAGGAAGCTTGTTGCTGGAACATTCCGAAGTCAGTTCCCCCTTCTACCACGAGAGTCACTAGGATTGAACCTAAACTGCCAATATAAGCATCAAGCATCTTTACCCACCGAGCCATCTTAACTGAAATCTCTGCATATTGGCTTTGAGGTAAAGGTGGCCACAAAAGATTATTAGAGGACAGTATTTATGACAGATATATGAACACTGAGCTTTGAGAACAAAGCTCTGCTGTGACATGAAGGACACTAGGAACACTTTCTATTCCTATAATGATTATAATACAAAATTTAAAAAAGGCAGTTTTCCCTCCAATAACAATTACAGGGTCTAAGCCATAGGGTCACTAGGCCTTAGTCCTGTTATCAGCTAATCCTTAAACTAATGAGTTGACCTTGAGAAAAAAAATGACGAACAAAGAGGTGAAGTCACCTGGCTATGAGTCCGGGAACTGGGAGGGGAAGAACTCGAACCCAGGCAGGCTGTTCTAGAAAACAAACACTGCTTTTCACTCATTGCTGTATACTTAGTGCCAGGTTCAATGTCAGCACACAAAAGCAGATCAATCAAATACTACTGGAAAAATCAGTTGAATTGGAGGGGCAAGGTACTCACATTTGGAAGAAACATCGCCTACACACTCCCTCAAAACAAAAACAGGAAGAGACAGACCCTGCGCAGTGCCCAGTTTCTCACAGAGTCTCTGCTCTGAGAAGAAAGGACTAAATGTCAGCTTGACCAAAGCATTGTCCTCATCTAAGGAGTGTTCTCCCAAATTTTACAGATAATAACCTTCCCTAATGATTAGCAGATGGGAGCAACCATAGCCTTAAAGGGCTAGGCACCTAGAAATCCCCTCTTAGTTTTCCACTCACTGGGCCTCACTGGCGATTGCCAAACAATGTTTTCTACAGTGTTTCTGTTTATTGTGACATAAGAAAACAAGGTTTGCCAGTATGTATAACTGAAACTTCCAGAGGAGCAATCCTTGCTGCCCAGATGCCTATTATCACCTTGCCCCTGGGCTACCTTTGCTTGAGTGGCATAGACACAGCAGGCTGATGGGTCTGAACCTACTACTCCCAGCTGTGGGGCCCACTATTTAAGTCCCATCTTACCCCAGTCCCCTTTGCCACTCCTCCCACACAATTACAGCCAAGGTTACTTCCAGCTGTTTTCTACGCCCCTGGACTTTGATGATTAGATCATGTCAACCTTCTTTCCAAACCCTGCTCAGTGACATTTTACTGAAGTTGTTCTTCAACCCTCTTCCTCCCCGCCATAATTCCCTGGCCTGTTACATGCCCTGTATTTGTCTCCTGTCCCAGTAGGTACAGTCCTGGCATGAGGCAAGCCTTTGTTTTGGAAAGCCTTTGCTTTGGTCTCTCAACATCCCCACTGCTGCCAAGCAGAGCTACTACAAGTAAATCTCTGTGCTGCGAAACTGGGATGCTCTAGATAACCAAGTGCTCCAAAGGGAGAATGGAGGGCGGCTATGAGAGTGAAACCGACCAGCAATGGAAAGAGCTGAAGGCTTGTTAAATTTTGATTCCACCCCCCTGCCCCCAAGTGGAACTCCAGATTCCTGATTCAAGGCCTTCCAGCTCTTGACATCCAAGACCTTAGGAGATATTGGAATTGACTAAATAAATGGTCACTCACCAACTAGTGGAAGGCGGGTATCTGCTCTCTAACGTTTTGGTCCAGGGCTTGTACCAACTGATCTGTTCAGCAGCTTTGCCCCAGAACCTCTCAGGGTCTGTCACAGAGGCTGCAAAATGGCTCTTATACTCGCCACCACTGCAGGTGGCCAGAGCTCTGCAGCCCCGGCCCCCGAGACTGGTCACCAAAGCCCTTCGGGCTGCACCGGCTCCTCTTGCTGAAGGGGACCCTGGCAGGGGCGTCCCAAGCGTCCCGGCGCCTGTAACTTTGCGACATTGCAGCCAGGATGGCTTCATCCTTGCTCTCTGTTCCCAGCCACAGGCCCAGCTGATAGCTTGCCCTGTGGCTGGGGCACTGCCCCTTAGGGGAGCCTGCTGGGGGCGGGGACTAACTCTGAACTAAGCCCCAAGCCCAGAAGTTTGGAAGACAAACTGAAGTCCGCGATAAAGACCGACCTGGAGCCACCAGGAAAGCAACAGGCTGTCGCGGGGAACTGAGGAACGGGAGCAGGGGTCTACAGAAGTCGAACTGTGTCTGTGTCACCCCTAAGATTCTACTCTAACACGGATTACCAACCCGTGACAGTCACTTGTCATTTGACAGAGCGCCTCCTGACTTAGACACATAAGAACGCCTAGCTCAAGTCCAAAGGGCCAAATGGCTTATTTTAAACAAAAAGTGTATCCCTGTCCCACAGCAGATTCCCGTAACTCTAGCCATTGCAGGGAGGCCCTGGCTTGTTAGTTTCCTTTGCTCCTTTATATTTTTTGTTTAAAATTCAACTCAAAGCCGTTACTAAGTAGTTCCGGGGCCATGTATGATCCAGGATTTCCCGACAGCCAAGAGGAGGCGTGGTAGGAGGCTTACACAGCAGCCTGGGGAAGTGCTTCCTAGAGTGATTGACAGCCAGGCCACTGGGGAAGGTAGCCCAGCTGGGATCTGGAGGCACCTGCCAGCCCCCTCCATGGGATTCAGTAGCTGAAGCACAAAGGACTTGGGACGTTTCTTCCCTTCTAATTTGCTGACTTTCTTTCAGAGAACACGTGGTTGTGAAGTTTCTTCGAGTTAATAAAACTGCTTTAAAACGGAATGCGATAACCACTGCACAACTAGGAGTCATGGACGTGAACCCCTCAAGGGGTTCACTATGTGTATGGGCTATGCCTTGGGAGGCTATTCTAAAACAAATCAAAAGATGAAATGAACCTAGAGAAAGAAGCTGCTGAGAAAACTCGAAGCACAAGGGTGGCAGGAACTCCTTGCCTGGCTTTAACTTTCTTTGAGCTCTGCCCTCTTTCACGCTTCAGCGAAATCCACAATCTTTTTGCTTTAATATCATGCCAGACATATTCAGTCTCGGTGTCACAACATTTGAAACTGTAAATGTAAAGATAATATATTCTCAAGCCTTAGGTGAGAAATGGCAGGATGCCCTTGACCCTGTAAAGGATAATAAATTAGGAAACTGTAAACAAATGATCCTTCAGGGAGAAAATGATGTGGAGATAAAGGCTAAACAGAACACAAGACAGAAAAAAAAAAATGACTTTAAGTACCCACCTCAACTATTTTCTTTAACTGAGAAGCAAGAAACAACACTTTTCCTATACACACAGCACTTTCCTTCCTACCAAAGTGATATCTGGTAGAAGAAGACTACCGTCATTTATTTTTACATTTTTAAATTGATTTATTTTTCAACATTCCAATCCCAGTTCCCCCTCACTCCTTCCCTCCCACTCCCCCCACTCCCCTCCCTCCCAACTGCTCCACAGAGAGGGTAAGGCCTCCCATGAGAAGGCTACTAAGACTGTCCCATCATCTTGTGAGGCAGGACCAAGGCACCTCTCCACCCCCACACCCCTGTGTCTAGGCTGGGCAAGGTATCTCTCCTTGTAAAATGGGCTCCACTAAGTCAGTTTGTGCATTAGTGTTAGATCTTGTACCCACAGCCAGTGGCCTCATGCACTGTCCCAGTCACACCATTGTCACCTATATTAAGGGAGTCTTGATTGGTTTTATGCTGGTTCCCCCTTTGTCAGACCTGAGTCAGTGACCTCTCACTAGCTCAGGCCAGCTGACTCTGTGAGTTTCCCCATTGCGGTCTTGAGTCCTTTGTTCATATTCTCGCTCCTCCCTCACTTTGATTGTACTCCAGGAGCTTGGGCCATTGTTTAGGTTTCTGCATCTGCTTCCATCTGTGTCTGGAGGAGGGTTCCCGCTTCTCTGGGGTTGTGGACTGTAGGCTGGGTATCTTTTGCTTTATGTGTGGTATCCACTTATGAGTGGATTTAACTTCTTTGTTCCTCCTCAGTGCTGCTCTCTGACACACACATTGGGTGGACTCCAACTTCGCACTAATCATGGAAAGGATGCATGGGTCCCTACATTGGATATAGATGACTTGAAGGAAGGAACTTAACTGCTTCTGGTATGCCTGGGATGTGTACCTTGTCTCAATGCTTTTAAAACCATAAGGTCGTGAGTTGACCCGGATTACATAAGAAGTGATCATTATCTTCCCTGTGCTTACTAAAGAAGCTTAGGGACAGGAGAACTCATTGCAGGGCTCAAGCCCACCAAGAAGGGAAGTCACAACTTAAATCCTCAAGAGCCAGAAAACCGGGTTGGAGAGTAAACTCACTGGTGAAGGACTCTTGCAAAAGAGCCAGGTTTGATTCCTGTGGTCAACCACATGGAGCAACACCGCCTCCTCAGGCACCAAGCATGTATGTGGTACATGGATGTCCATGCATGCAAAACACTCATACACATACAATATATTAAAAATATAAAATAAAAACTTAAAGGGGAAGAAAGCTTCAGGAAAAAAAAAAAAAAGATGGCAGATGGCAGGGTGCTAAGATCTCAAACAGGGAGAGGAAGGGACAATCCAGATTTGCAGACTGCAGTTTTATCACTCATGTTACATGCCTTATCTCTAGGCTTCATAACAGTAAGTGTGGGGATCTGACTACAGAGACCACAATTCTCATGCCAGGTTGATTACCTCCCAATATCAAGGTTGATTACCTCCCAATATCAAGAGGAATTTGCTGTATAATCAATTAAATGCTCTTATATATTTTCGTCTGAGAAAGCACACCACAGGGAAAAAGTGAATCAGAGAGCATAGTGATGGTGTTATAGACTCAGCAAGGACAAAGAGAACTAGAGAGGTGAAGAACCAAACAAGAAAACTGGAAACAAAGACGTTCTCTTTGTTAGTCTTAGAAGGGGGCAAGGAGGAAGCTGGATTTAGCTGTCTACTGAGAAGAAGGCAAAGTTGCTAATACCTGGAGTATCTCAGAACTTGGAGCCCTGGACTCAGAATGGAGATTAAGGCTGTCAAATGAATCTTAAAAACATAGGCAAGGGAATCTCCCTGCTGGACATGAAACTACTTTCTCTGGAACCATCAATACTTCATATCCTGAGTTTTAAATTTATTGTATAAAATAGACAGTGACTGTTTTTCTGGTCAGATCTTTAGCCCTGGGATTACAAGGTGGCAGCCTGATTACTAAGCACTAAGCACAGGAAATGTTTAAAAGCATTGACTACCAGATATGCTAAATTGGGAATGTTCCACTAACTTTTCCATGCAGCAGTTTCTTGATCTGTAATCTGAAGTTGATATAGCATATGTATCATAAAATTGGTACAAGATATAAATAAACGTGTAAATTGCATTAAGGCCATAGCAAGCCGATTCAGAATTTCACTAGTCTATAAACAAACATTCTCCCCTCACCAAAAAAAAAAAAAAAAAAAAAAAAAAAAACTTCTTTAAAACTTTGAAATTAGAGAGGAAGGCAGTTCTCTGTGAGTTCGAGGCCAGCCTGGTCTACAGAGCAGCAAGTGTCAGGCTCCAAAGCTACACAGAGAAAGCCTGTCTTGATAAACCAAAATAAGAAATTAGACTATTTGAAAAGACATGATTTTAATTGAAGCATCCTTGCAATATTTGTATGATTTGAAAGATAAAAATATACTTTAATGAGTTGGGGGGGAGCTATTGATGTTTAATAAGGATCAGGAGAAACAAATAGGCTGAATAGATGTTTATTCAGGGAGAAACAACTCACAACATAGACAGATGAACACTAGCAGGTTCCTGGTCCCAACGATGCCTCCGGATGTACTCCTGTCCCCATGCTACAAGCAAGAGAGCTCTCTGAGCCCCCTCCTCAGACTTAGTTCCCCCTGGTAACATCCGCCCCTGTCTCCACCCACAATGGGCATGGCCTGTTCTCACTACAGAGGATAAGATAATCAATGTTCAAGTCATATGAAACCGCAGTTTTCAAATGTTTCCTATGTATTTATTGATACACACATAACATCCTCACTAAAACACTATTCCAGGTGACATTTACAAAGCAAAAATACGATGATTCAAAGATTATCTGAAAGAAACAACCTAATGTAGAAACAGAAAAAAAAAAAAAAAAAAAAAAAAAAAGAAGTGGCTGAGCGAGAGAAAAGTGATTAGAAAGAACGGAAGCTATAAAAACCTGTTCAATGAAACCATAGGAAAGGGGAGGAAATGAGACTCGGAGTGTAAAATGCCCACAGAAAGGGACTAAACAAGAGGTAGGAGTGAGAAGGAGAATGAATACAGAGAAAGAGGTAGCAATTTACCACTCAGCAATGGACTCTGTCTCTCTCTGAAGAGTCTAAAGTTACTGCAGATTACCTTAACTCTGTATCCTCTGCTAGCCATAAGAATCATCTTTGCCTAACTTTGCCAGAAACGAAATGTCTGACTAGAGGAAGCATCCGAGCTACTAAACACTTGTCCTGTGATTCTTACACGTCTTTTTTCCTGGATAGCCCGAAAACTCCATGAGTGGAAGTATTTTGTCGACAGCGCTTACCTGTGAATTAGGTGTATGCTGAGCTGAATTCAACTGAAGCTGGGAGGGACATTTAAGATGCATTGAGATTCAGCAAAGCTTTGTTTAGGAAATAATACCAATATTTTGTAAGCCAAAATAGTTTTTGAATTTCTAAGATGAAATACAATATATAATGAAATTATAAATTTTAATTTTTAAAAATATATCTTCTGTTCTTCCCCATAGCAATGACTGTAAGGAAATAAAACTGGATGGATTTAATATGGTGGGGAGTGAGGGGGCAAGGTAGTGGAGGGTACATAAAGAGAGACAACTTATATTTAAATGTCCAGTAACTCAAACAGGGCAGGAAACTAGAGACAAAAACTAAAGAAAAGACTATAGAGGAATGCCTCTTACTAGCTTACCCCGCCCCATGGCTTGCTCAGAACCATAAAACCCACGAGTG